AGTGTTCCCCCTGTGCACCCCCTCCCCCCTCCTACCCAAGACTGTCCGCATCTGGCTTGGTCGTCTGGAGAATCATCGCACGAGCGTCGCCGTAGAAGGTGTGGCCGGAGAGGAAGCGCCTACTTGCCGAGCCTCTGCAGGGCGGCCCGGTACTGGTTCCTTTGGCGAGGCCGGTACATGTAGTCGACGCAGTACAGGAATACCTCGTTGTGGAAACAGTTGCTCCTACCAAGGAAACAGTACTATAATACTATCAGCGAAAAAAATACATGAAGAAAGGTGGAAAAGAGAGTGTATGTAGAACCAATGGAAAAGAAGTAGGCCTGTAAGGAAAGCAAGGATTAAACCTTTTGATTTTAGATATTTGGTTGCAAAGCTATACCACAAAGGCTGATCGAAAACATCAAATATTAGATTAAAACTTGTTACATATAATGCTGAAATACCTGCATTCGACCGCCACGTCGGTGTCGCGGTACAGGTTGTAGCAGTCTTCGCACACGCGGTCGAGCCTTACAAGGAGTTCGCGGTCGTAGACGCCCGTGCACGAGTCGAAGGATATGCTGCGCTTGTTTGCGGTCTGGGCTCCCGCGAGGGAGGTCGCAGGAGAGGATTCTGAGGAGGAAGGCAGGGACGGAGGGATTTCATTTCCGTCCCAAGAGGCGAGGACAGAGGCCGGGAACACTAGCAGCAGGGATACCAGGACAGCTGAACGCACCTGTTGGGAAATTAATTAGCTTTCTGTAAATCTATGCGTGTAGCTTTTAATTGAGGCTATTCCATGGGAATTTATAAACATTAGAATTAGCCTTGCACTTCACGTCAATCATTCACTGATAGAACGTGTGAACAGTTGAATGTAGAAACCATCCTGTTTTGCATTCACTGAAACCGAATACAACTAAACAGCTGAACCATATAGTTGATTATACCCCATTTTGATATAATGCGCACTATATTCTACTATAAAAGTGAATAACTTAATGATTATACTGATACGGTCCTCCAGAAACTGCAAAGCGTACAACACATAAGGATATATATACCGAAAAATCCAGCTTTAACCTTTACCCTTTCCAAAAACTTTACAACCAACTCAGTTCTTTAGCCTAGACTTACCAGTCGAACCCCAATCATTTCCTCGGCGTCGACTCGAATCGGGAGGAGAGAACCGGCGACTTCGAGGCTCTTCGTCTGCTCTGCGACGGAGCCAAGTGGACGTCGCCTTATATAAGCGGTCGTCAGCGTCCTTCATGTTGGCGAAATCAGAGGTTTGGGCGAAACGCCTTGTGTTCTGAGCCTTTGATCACGGAATCGCTAATCAACCAATTGTCTTAATCTGCCGTAGTTAATGGGTGTTCGAACTCGTGATCATATTTCAATCATTTTGAAAATAATGTAAACTGTAGCAATAATCATTTTCAAAACAGATACACGTGCAGGCATATACGTACACACACACACACATAAACATATTTCGTATATATGTATCATTATTATACATACATCTATAAAAATGTATGTATAAATGCATATATGTATAGATATAGAT